AAAAGAGTGTATTTGGAAAATGGAGGTGGTAGATCGAAGCTTGAAGAGTGTGCGAGGCACGTGCCTTTATCGTCCCAATTAGATTGGTCACTAAAGAGGCGGCCTCAAATTCCGTCCATCGTATCTTCTCCATTAACATCAAAATCAAATAGGAACAATTACAAAAAATGTCATTTTGTGTGTGCACATTTGTAAAAATACCACTTAGAAGTGTCCATTTACAAAAATACTACTAATTATAGATTTATAAAACATATATTTTAAAATTTTAAACCCTAAAAATTGTTTTGACACTTAAAACCTCCTAAACACTCAAAACTAAACTATAATACAACATAATTAACCCAAACATAAATAATATAAAGAAAAAATAATTTTGAAAAAGTGGCATTTTTGTAAAGATTTCAAAAGTGTGGCATTTTTGTAAAATAGCGTTTGAAAATTGGTATTTTTTGAAATTTCTCAATCAAATATCATAAAAAACATTTCGTATGTTGTTTTGCAATCTATACTCCTATAATATGTCAATATATATAACCACTCTCTTTTAAATTGGTTCTTTAGTTGACTAGATCGTGTTTGAATAATGGACTGATCTCACATTCGCCCTATCTTTAAATCGTGTTTAAAAGCTTTGGTAGACGTTGAAAGTAATCCGATATTGTAGTTTACTGTATATTTTACCAAAATTTATAATCATGTTGAAAAATAGGTGATGCTACATTTTTGTTCAAAGAACTCAAAACTCCGGTCTACTATTTTCTAAATTAAATGGAATTCCATTTTTACTTATAAAGTAATAACATGTTATATTTCAAAAAAACAAACAAAAAAGTAATAACATGTCGGAAGTTTGTTTGATGGATTTTGATAATCCATAACTTTTAGTTTATAATATTTTAAATATTTAGGATATAAATCATCTATTTTAATAGAGACGAATAGCGACCACGAATACTTTCAAAATTAACCAGTATGTTGCAGTTTTATAAACTTAAAAGTATCCTTATATCAATTCAAACAAAAAAAAAAGTATCCTTATAAATAGTAATAACATGTTTTTTTTTGTTTTTGTTGCTAAAATATAGTAATAATAATAACATGTTTTTAAGCGACATAATCACATAAATAATAACATAGTATATCACTACATTGTACTATTAACTAGTTAGTCTAGTTAAATCCTTTTAACCAAATGTTCAAAATTCCAACTCAGTCGGAGTTTTACTTTTACGTAATCATCCAAGTACATTGGATTTGATTTGGACTAAATAAATAAATAAAATAATGCAAGTTGGTTATTGAAAATACCAAAACGATATGATTGGTATACAAATCCAAAGTGATCTTTTCTTTCCTCTATATATGTATATTTTAAAAACAAATTCAGTCAAATCATGTATCTGTTTAGTTAACTATACAATATCTGTTTAGTTAACTTACAATATCGGATAATATTTTATCCGATAGTGCAAAAATTATTTATGATTTTAACACCGCGCGTGTTTTCTTTGGCAATCAAGGCTTAAAATAGTGACTCATATAATAATCCTTTCTGACACATTTAGAAAAACCAAATAAAACAATAATTTTGACGCCTTGCCGCATGAGTTTTTAATAGATTGCTAATGAATTAAAAACAATTAAATAGTTTTAAAACTTTAAAAATAGGTGGCTAATTTCAGCTTTTTAGAACCTAAAAAAATAAATTACTAACTTTTAGCATTTATTATATAATAAAAAATACTTATCACCCCCAACACTAACCCCTACCGTTGATCATGGTTTTATAGAAAGCTCTATGCATGTAAATATAATTAATCTTCATCTTCTCCGTCGCGTATTTCAAGGACCTCTCCTCTGATTATCCTTAAAAA